CCCCGCTCTCCCCAGCCTCCCGCAGGAGGTGGTTACCAATTCTCCGCTAAACCGTACTCGCAACGTGGACCAATTCCCCGCCGGGCTGCGCGGTCGCTGCTTCGGCTACAAGGGTCCGAGGTCCTCCGTGCCGGCTGTCCCTGCGTCTACCCCGCACGGCGAAGGGTTAATAATTCCTAACCTTCCCGTTAAATTATTAGACATTCATCCCGTGAATGTCTCTGCCCGCAACGCCTGTGTGGAAAGAGGGTCTTCTCCTGCAGGAGGGTCTTCCCTGACGGCATCCCCCCGTTCCCACCCCGCAGGTGATCAAGTACACGCTGGACCCCGTCTGGAAGCCGTTTGCTCTGCCTTTCGTGTCGCTGTGCGACGGAGACGTAGAGAAGCCGATAAAGGTAACGGGGGGGCCCTTCAGCTTGTGTCGTGAGGGCCGACCTCTGGGACCCATCGCTGAACGTCTGAAACGCTGTGGTTGTTTATGAAAAAAAAACAACAACAAAACCCAAACTAAACCAGAACCATGCCCAAAACCAAAAAAAAACCCCTAAACCTCCCCCGCCTTCTTTGGGGTCTCCAGCAGGAGAGGTTGGGAACTTCATCGGGTCTCCTCGCAGGAGATGGTTACTGCGTCCTGAGGCTGGTTTGTGCTCCTTCTGCCCTAGGTGATGTGTTATGACTACGACAGCGATGGCGGACATGACTTCATCGGGGAGTTTCAGACCTCGGCGGCCAGGATGTGCGAAGCCCAAGATGCCTTTCCGGTAAGTGCCGACACACTTTCGGGGAAGAACGAGGAAGGGGCTCCTTGGGGCTGGCGGTGGGTTTTGGTACTTGCGCTGGAGACCCTCAACATGTGCTGAGAAGCCAAAGTCCAACCCTCTTTCTCCTCACACCTGCACCATGAGTGACCGTAGCTAAAGCATCTGAGATAAAGAGGGGGCTAAGGCCGCCTTGGCAGAAAATTGGGCTCTGCTGAGCTGTCTGAAGCAGCACCCGTGATTTGCGGGGGGGTGCCCTGTGGTTTGGGTGGCCAGGAGGGGAGGTGTGACGTGCTGCTGGGGCTGCCTCTGCTGCAGGTCCACAGGAGAGCCAGCTGCTCTGCAACTCCCCATCGGTTTTGTGGCCAAAGGTGTCCCCGTCTTCCCCCTGAAGCGCTGGTCGAAAGCCTTGGCAGATGCCACCTGACTGAAAGCATGTCGTGAAGACTCCCGTATAATCAGGGCTTTTCGCTGCTGTCGTCACTAGGATTACAAAACCAGGAGGAGTTCTTGGCCGAGATGTGGGGATGTGTAAAACACAATGCGTGGGGCAATGAGAAAAGTTTCCTGGCTGGGGAAACTGAGGCACAAAGGCATGAAGTGTCCTGTCTAGGACTGCGCAAGCTGATGGTGCCAGAGGCAGGCGTCAAGCCCGTTTTTCCACTGGATTTGCAACCTACAGCCTTGCTGTAAGATTTTCTCTCCATCGGACCCTGACTGATGCTGGTTCGAAGAGAGTACAACTCACCTTGCTGCGTGGCTGTGCTGCCATGCCCCTGCGCGTAACATGGGTCCTCCTGGAGGTGGGCTCCTCTTCCCCTTGCTAGGCTTGTCACGGGAGGTCGGGCACCCTCCGTTCCCCGGTAAAGCTGTTCCCCGGCCGACGCCGCTCTCTGAGCAGAGCCGCTGCGGGTGGAAGATGGTGGCTCCAAGGGCAAGCGGCCGCTGCTCGCCATCACTGCGTGTCACCCTTCAGCATCCTTCCTCCCTGGGGTGGCTCCTCGTGTCCTTTCTCATCCTTTCATGTGGCCACGTTGATGGGGGTAAACGCAGAAACGGGGACAGAGGAGCTCTTGCTGTTGACCAGGTAGCACGTGTGGGCGTGCTTGCAGGCAGGAGCAGCACCGTCCAGCCATAGCTTGGCCAAGGTGGGGGGAAAGGCTCATTGCCATGTCCAGGGTCATCACTGGGCTGGTCTGAGCAGGTCTGGGGCCATCACCAGGCTGGACTGAGAAGGTCCAGGGCCATCACTGGGTTGGTCAGAGCAGGCCTGGGGCCATCACTGTGCTTGTCTGAGAAGGTCCAGGGCCATCACTGGGTTGGTCAGAGCAGGCCTGGGGCCATCACTGTGCTGGTCTGAGAAGGTCCAGCGCCATCACTGGGCTGGTCAGAGCAGGCCTGGGGCCATCACTGTGCTGGTCTGAGAAGGTCCAGGGCCATCACTGGGGTGGTCAGAGCAGGCCTGGGGCCATCACTGTGCTTGTCTGAGAAGGTCCAGGGCCATCACTGGGTTGGTCAGAGCAGGCCTGGGGCCATCACTGTGCTTGTCTGAGAAGGTCCAGGGCCATCACTGGGCTGGTCAGAGCAGGCCACTGGCAGGATGCACAGACTGGCCACCACTGTCCTACGTGGAACCCATGTGGGAATTACCCACCAGTGGCTCTGGGCTGGACCGTCTGCCCAGGTTTGTTCAGAGTTAGGGCATTTTGTCAATAGATCCGTATTTTGATTTTGTTCTGTCTGTGAAATGCAATGTTTGCATTCGGGAAACTTAAGGATTTTAGTATTTTAAATGTTCTCATTTTTCTGCAGCTGGAAGAATGGACGTGACTTTCTTTCTGTGCTCCCCCTGCCCAGACCAACCCACATGTAAACTTTCATGTTTACATGGACTAAACATGGACAAGAGTTTTTATTCATTTTAGCTTTTTTTTTTTAATTGAAATTTAACAGCAATTTTCTCAATATTCAAAAGGCATTTTACTTTCCCAGAGCTTTTGAGGAAAGGTGGTGGCCTGCCCTAATTATTTCTGTGTTTGCCCCATCCCATTCCGCTTGCCCCCATCCCATCCTGTAGACCCCCATAGCCTCGTTGGGGTGTCTCGGCTGTCACGCGCCGGGTCCTGGGCACGGTGAAAGCCCCTGGAAAGGAAAAGCAGCCCCTTCCCAAGCAGGTCCTCGTGCCTCCATTTCCACCATTAAATAGCAGTCGCTCGCTGTGGTTCATTTATGCCTCTTCAGCGCTCCGAAACGCCGGGAAGGAGGGTGCCTGCAGGATGTGGCCAGTGGTGGCATCTGCAGCCACCCGGCACAGCCCAGCACCGCGCTCACACTGGCGTCTGTCTCTCCTGTGTTACAGCTCGAGCTAGAGTGCATTAACCCCAAAAAGCAAAAGAAAAAAAAGAATTACAAGAACTCTGGGATCATCATTGTCAAGTCCTGCAAAGTGAGTACGATGCTGGGATGTTTCCTTCTGGCCCTGGCCAAGCTCGGGTTTACTGAGCTCCCCCCATCCCTTCTGCCTCCAGCGCCCTTGTGTTTCCAAGCACAGGACCTGCAGAGCATCAATGAAAAGTCAGATTTCCTTTCTGCTTGGGTGTCACAGAATCACAGAATCATTAAGGTTGGAAAAGACCTCTAAGATCATCAAGTCCAACCTTCAACCCAACACAACCATGCCCACTAAACCATGTGCCAAAGCACCACGTCCACACGTTTTTTGAACACCTCCAGTGATGGTGACTCCACC